CCAAACACTCATGTGTGTGTGTGTGTGTGTGTGTGTGTGTGTGTGTGTGAGTCTCCTTCTGGTCTTTCATACATAACTTGATATGATCCAAACCATAGTTTCATACCATTTTACATTCCTTTAAATTTTTTTTAACTTCTTTAACTTTATTTTATGTGCTTGGTGTGAAGGTATCAGATCCCCTGGAACTAGAGTTACAGTTGTGAGCTGCCATGTGGGTACTGGGAATTGAACTCAGGTTCTCTGGAAGAGCAGTCAGTGCTCTTAACCTCTGAGCCATCTCTCCAGCCCCCCTTTTAAATTTTTTTTAAAGAATTTATTTATTTATTATATATACAACATTCTGCTTCCATATATATCTGCACACCAGAACGTATCTCATTGTAGATGGTTGTGAACCACCATGTGGTTGCTGGGAACTGAACTCATGACCTCTGGAAGAGCAGTCGGTGCTCTTAACCTCTGAGCCATCTCTCCAGCCCCCCTTTTAAATTTTTATGTGTCATATTTTTAGATTTTATTTAATGCCAGGCAGTGGTGGCCTCATACCTTTAATCCCAGTACTTGGGAGGCAGAGGAAGGCAGATCTTTGAAAAGTTCAAGGGCAGCCTAGTCTACAGAGAGAGCTCCAGGACAGCCAAGGCTACACAGAAAAACCCTATCTCAAGGAATGGGGGAAACATTCACATATTTCTAAGTTATAAAATTTTTGTTTAGTCCTTTTTTAGTTACATCTATGTATGTATGTATGTATGTATGTATGTATGTATTCACACCACACTTGTGTGCTGTGATGCATGTGTGGAGGTAAGAGAATAAATTGTAGGAGTCAAGTCTACCCCATGGCTTCTAAGGACTTAACATACCAGGCTTTCAGAACTAGCAGCAAGTGCCTTTACCTGCTGAGCCCTCATGCCGGCCTTGGCACTGACATTTTCTTTTTTTTTTTAAGACTTTATTTATTTATTATGTATACAACCTTCTCCCCCCATGTATATCTGCACACCAGAAGAGGGCATCAGATCTCATACTGGATGGTTGTGAACCACTATGTGGTTGCTGGGAACTGAACTCAGGACCTCTGGAAGAGCAGTCAGTGCTCTTAACCTCTGAGCCATCTCTCCAGCCCCGGCACTGACATTTTCACTCTGTGATTGTGCAATGCTGGGCCTTGAATCCAGAGCCTCATTCTGGATAGAGACACACACCCCAGCCAGGTTTTTACCAATTGGCCAACACACCCTTGACCTCACAATCCTCCTACCTTAGCCTCCTGAGTGTTAAGGTTACAGGTGTGCACCACCATATCTGGCTATGGAGAACTAATTTTAATGTCTACAAAGTTAATTTGTTCCAAGGAAAATTATCTGAAAATCAAAAGAGGGAAATGAGAAGGAGCTGATTTCAGGAGGAAGGTGACCACTTTCATTTTTGAACAACTTGGTTCTGGTTTGCAGTGAATCCTGAGTATGTGGTTGTCTCTTGCTCTACCACCTCCAGTCTCCGGTCAAAGTACAACTCTGAATAGTACAACTCTGATGAGGACATTTCCTCTCAGTGCTATTAATCATTAGTTCTGAAGAACAGGCGATGCTCTGATGAGAAACTAGCACTAACCGAGCCTATATTGTACACAGGTTTTCTACATCCAATTTCTTGGTGTTATCAGCAGCTCTGTCAGGCAGGTACTTCAGTCTCCAATTTCCAAATGAGGAAGCTGAGGCTCAGACAGGAAACTCTCGGCTAGCAAGTGCTAAGTTGGGATTTGCTCAACTGTGACATCTCTCAGGGCGCCACCAGTTCTCCTAGGTGTTTGTTTCATGTGTGTCACAGAGCTGCTGAAATGAATCATGGAGGATTTATTCTCTCTCAGTCCAGGAGTCCAGAAACCTGCAATCAGACTGTCATTGAGACTCTGCAGGAAATCTCTTGCATGCCTCTCTCTGACCTTCAGGCTACTACCTTCCTTGGTATATAGATATGTCACTCCGTCATCACTAGGCATTCACATGGACATGTCATAAGGACAGCAGGAATTCTGGAATGGCCATGGCTCCAGTCCAGTGTCATCTCATTTTGGGGGTGAAGGTGTTTTGGGATAGGATCTTGCTATGCTTCCCAGGGTGCTCTTGAAATTCTAGGCTCAGAGGATCCTCTCACCTCAGTCATCCAAGGACCTGGGACCATGTCCCACGGTCACTTTCACTCTTTTGATTGTGCAGTGCTGGGGTTTAAATCCAGAGCCTCACGTGTGCAAGAGTTACTCACACTCCAGCTTGACCTTATTTTAACTAATGACATAGACAATGACCTTGTTTCCAAATAAGGTCGTTCTGAGGTACTGGGAGTTAAGATTTCAATATACCTTTTTTTGAAGGATGTAATTCAGTCACAATGCCCCATTAAGTAGAGTTAGGTTCTAGAGTGAAAAGGTAGTCCTTTCTTCTTGGATTAGAAGCTTAAAAAAAAGATTTCAGCCAAGAGGTGGTGGCACATGCCTTTAATCCCAGCACTCTGGAGGCAGAGGCAGGCAGATTTATGTGAGTTTGAGGGCAGCCTGGTCTTCAAAGAGAGTTCCAGGACAGTCTCCAAACCTACAGAGAAACCCTGTCTAAAATAAATAAATAAATAAATACAAATTAAAATTAAAAATTATGTGTGTATGTGTGTGCTGGGGGCGGGGTGCCAATGAGTGCAAGGTGCCCAAGGAGACCAGAAGATC